AGTGAAAGATGCCAGGATCTATGGGCAATTAATCCGTCTTACAAAGTCCAGACAGTAGCTTCTGCTCAGCTCCTCTGCAACACTCAAGAAGATCCCTTTTCAGCCAAACTACCTCTAGATATACACTCCAGCAGGTAGTTTAAGTCCTTGAGCCCCTGGTACATGTACCAGTCTGTGGCAAGGCCCAAGAGTAGATACACTCTGCATTCTAAACACACATCCTGCCCAAGTGGAGCCCAGGAGGTAGAGAACACTTTGGAATACCTATAGACTTGTATGGCAATATACAGCATTCTGGGAGATGCAAACTTTTGCTCATGACCGCAGTTTTGAATCTGCCTTCTTGTGTCTTACTGTTGGTCCATATCTATAATGGGTGGCTTAAATGACTAAGAGGAAGGAGAAGAAGGCAGAGTTGGCAGGCCCAATTTTTACTTTGGGTGCTTAAGTCCCAAAAAAGAAAGGAGCCCCAGTCAATGTTGAGAGTAAAAAAAAATGTCAGGCTACAAAACTCATCTCCTTTCCGGTGCTGTTCCCACATAACCACTTCTTTGCCACATGATGTCTGGAGTCTTCTGAGTTGACTAATGCTAACCAGGAAGACTGAAGATAAACTTGGAGTTTAGAGTCTAATGGACCCACCTCCTGAGGAGGCATCACCACAGGCTTTGCAGTCACAGTATAAAGGTTTGATGTTCATTCGGAAATCTTCCACAAATGGTCTTTCGAACGATAATCGATCAGTTGATAGGACACTTAAATTTTTTTTTACTGTAGTCCCGCTCACATTTTCTCGAAGGGTGAGGCTGGAAATTTTTTTTTTTAATGAAATTAAAAATCGATGGATTAGTGGTAAAAAAATCATACGAAAAAAATCTTAGCAAGAAAACTGCACATGCGCAAATGAAAATCTGTTCTGTTGATCGGCAAAAAGTATTGCTAACGAACGATTATCGAAATCGACATTTGTCTGTGCTTGATGGGCTATTTGAGCTATGAGTCGAACAAGGGTTTTTGGCAGCAACGAAAATTTCCGATCTATAGGTGTATGGCCAGCTTAACACAAAGTGGATCGGACATCATCACATCACTGCTACTATCTCTATCATAAACAACCACCCCGATGCGGAGAAGACTGGAAGGGGACCCTGCACATCATGTGACTTGCATGAAGACTCTGAAAAAGGAAGGTTTGAATAAAATGTATAAAAGTATTAAAAAGGGGACCCCCAGGGAACTGAAACCCGCTAAGTAGTGGTGTTTCCAGGGAACTCTGCCTGCCAATATCCATAAAAGAGCAAAAGTTCACCAAAAAGTTTCCATATACAGCTGTTCCATCCTTATAAACAGACACATGGCCTTCTGCTGTCAGTAATTGTACATTTCATATATACTTTTGTGAAAACTGAATCTATTTATGTACAGTTTTAAAACACTTAAAAGCTGAATTTTTCCCAGAGTAGAGAATTCTTTCCTACCTATCATCTAAAATCTGACACTTTGACATCATCTGAGCAGATGCTTTGCTCAATTTCTTTGCCTCAGCTAAGAAAACAAAATAGCAATTAAACGTTTAATTCTAATGTTACTTCCCCTCACAGCTCCATTTACTGGCTTGATTTTTAGATTTCACAGCCCACCAGAGGCACTCCTCAGTTTTAAATGAGCATTTCCATGGTTACAAATGAAATCAGTAAGTGGACTTAAGGGCAAAGAAGTGATTGCCGTGGTGATTAGAACTGTCAAGGACCAGTAATGTTATTTTTGCAAAATAATCTCTAAATACAGAAAGTTACATATCTCAGTCTGCACTATCTCAGATATGGTTACACTGAGGAATCGGAGGTTCTAAGGTTCTGTGACTGCATAGCTATGCTATGCAACCCTGGTAAACCACAGCTCCAAAAGGTGCTGAATTTCCAGCATGACACATCCATAAAATAGCAGCACAGTTCTACCGCCAGAAGATTCAGGAACTTGTCAAATTGCCTGAAGACTGTTAGCTTAAAGAACTCGGGGCAAAAATGTTCTTAACCTTTGCAGTGGGGCTACACCTGCACGGCAAGGGTTAAAAGAGAACTATGGGGTAACCTTGTTATCCCATAGTTCTCTTTAGGGTCACGGGAGGACATATACGAACCTCCTTACGTGACCCAAAGCTTAGTATATAATGAGCTATATACTGAGAGCGCCACAGCTGGGACGGATCCCGACAATACTGTCGAGATCCACCCAGCTGGCTGATTGACAGCTGGCTCTACCTATCTATCTACCGCCCTCTTCCCATCCGTTCCTCCAGTCAGCGCTTGAGGATCGGAGAGATGAGAATCCCTGCGGGGAGCGGTGACTGACAGTCATCGCTCTCTGCAGGGAGATGATCGGGGAGTGAGCGAGCAACGGTATGTGTTCGCTCACCTCTCGATCAATAGAGCAGATGTGTGACAGTTTCAATGTCACATGTCGGCTCTAACTATGGGGATGAGTGTAATTCACTCACCCCATAGTTCTCCTTTCAGTGCTCGTTAAAATACTCAACTAAACTTGAGCCGGCTGGCTGTCAGATGGCTCCATGAAGCCTCTCTCCCCCTCCGCTCCAGCAGTCTAAGGTTCTGTGAGTTATCACATTCTATACTTTGTATTGGACGCGAAGACGCCGAGAGACATACCATCACTGGAGAGGAGGAGGAGGAGACAGGCTGGAAGGAGCGCTCTGACAGCCAGCTGGCTGCAAGGTTCAGATGAGTATTACTTTGCAATTTTCACACTTAAACAAAAATGAGCACCTAACCCTTGTAGTGCGGGGGCAGCCCCACCTCAAGGGTTAAGAAGATTTTTGCTGAGAAGAATAAGATTAAACCTCCAAACTATTGACCAAAGGACTTCTAAGGTGTCGATTATATACACTGATATCTCTTACTGTATATAACCGACACCTTAAAAGTCCTTTGATACATAGTTTGTCATTTCAAGCCTGATGAAGGGGACCCTGTGTGGCCCCGAAACGTTGCTATTTGTTTTGGCATGAAGCATCAATAAACAGACGTGTTCTTCACTTCAATATGGTGTGCTGGTGACATCTTTAACAAGTTTCAGTATTGGCGGGTCGGCACCATCCGCGGTCACTCCGAGCACCCTGACAGGGATACCCGGTAAGCAGTGCAGCAGGATTCTGGAATACATACCTCCTAATCTAGGGATAAATTCTTATATTTTAAGCAGTATTAAACTCGCATTTTTTTTCAGCAAAGAATCCTTAAAGCAGAACTCCACTGTTCTTTTTATTAACCCTTGCAGTGGGGCTACCCCAGCACTGCAATGGGCCAACTGCTCCTTTGTGTCTAGGTTAAAAAACCAAAATATTTACTCTAAGGTCCAGTAAATCATCACATCTATACACTGTGCATAGACGGGAGGATGCTGAGGAACATTCCAATCTGCTGCTGCTGCGGAGGAGACAGGCTGGAGGGAGTGCTGTGACAGATACTTTGGGTGAGTGTATCTTTGTTAGCACCTAGACATAAACGAGCACTTAACCCTTGCAGTGCGGAGGTAGCCCCACTGCAAGTTAAAAAAAATCCTAGAGTTCTGCTTTACATTTATGCCAAAGCACATAAACTCATCATGTTTCCAAACACCTGGCTCCAACTCTCTCAGCTCAGCTTCCCTGAAATTCCTATCTAGTACAAGATCACAAGGGACAGCACAGTCTCCAGCACCTGTCCATCTACTAGCTTGGAGGGGGAGGGGGGGCAGGGGAATGGCCAGGTATTAATTTGCAGTTCTCAGGCTACAGTCACATGTCAAGAAGTGCACGGTTATTTCTCAGGAGGCATTCAAGGTAAATAGGTTCATTGTTTGAGGGTACCGCTTAGCCACAAATAACCTTTCTAGAGGTTCCCTATAAGAAAGCAAATATTTTGAAGCACTTTTTGAGTATAGGTCCACTTTACTAGCACAGAGAATTTAGAGAGATATAGAGTCATGGCACAAGGTATGGAACTAAAAGAAGTGGTGTGCGGCAACCCAGGGACATTTGTTATGGCAATGAAAACGGGTTTATTGCATTTTTATGTCCTCTTAGAATATAGGAGGGTTCCAAATATATGGAAACAGCTGTGATGGAGTAATAGTTCTTATGCCAAGCATTATGTAAACTAAGAAATATGTAAAGAGCATATAATAAAAGTATAAAGCTTATTCATGTGTTAAAGAATGGTGTGGCTCTCATCTCCAATAATATCTCAGCAGGTAGATTACTTCCTTGGCTCAGTTATGATTTGCCATACACAACAATCTACAAATGTATACAGTACTAGAACAGCAGCAAACATGAATGTGGTAGGTAAAATAAATTACTAGTTTGGATTACAAACCTTAAAGGAGAACTATGGGGTCAGAGCTTTTCCCCATAGTTCTCCTAAGGGTAACGGGAGGACACAAACTAGCGTCCTCCCATCGCCCAAAGCTCAGTATACCGCGAGCTACAGCTCGTGTCTGCCATGGTGTCACGTACTGACTCTATTTTATCGTTGGATAGAAAAAAGTGCTTTATTACACTGTTGGGGATATATCCTCTTACTTTCTCTTACTCAGTGACACAACAAGACTTGAGGTTCAATCTCCTCAGTGGGAAGTGTGCTCACCTGCGGCCGCAGCAACTCAGATAGAGAGACAATATAAGGACATTTTAAAGCAAGATTAATATTTTACTAAAATGAATAAAGCATTTTGCATTGATGAAAGATGTTCTTTATTAATACTAAATGTCAGCACTGAGACTTTAGTTCTCATTTCATAAAACTTGTATTACCTTTGTTATGTGTTAAAAAAATAACTACTTTTTTAAATACAAATAAAAAATATATATATTCTCTATATTACTGTGTATTTTTACTCTGTAATCTTAAATGTTAGAATCTTCCCAGGAGCTCTCTGGAAGAAAAACATGAGCCAGGGCTCTGCGACATCTCTCATACAATATAACAAGAAGATGAAAGCCTTTTCTCAATACCACAATGATGCTTTCACTGGTGCAGTGACTGGCGTAGAGCCAGGTTCTCAGTTGGGGTCCCCCAGCATATGACTTTGGTCACGATTTCTTCCTCTGCTCCCATACAGTGAACCATTTTCCAACCATTAAGATCAGGACAGTTAGCCCTTGCAGAATAATATCAGAAGGCAGTGTAATATTTTTCCATTGTGCTAATAATCTCGCTGTTCTGTTCAAGAGTATCAATGACTCTCTGCAGTATGGTTTCATTTATGCAGGACCCAAACTCTTGTTGTACACAGTTCAAGATATGGAGGAAGTGACAGCCTTTCTCTGCATCTGCAAATAATAATTAAAAACAAAAAATATATATATATTTAATAGTTAAATGTGTGTAAAAATATTAGTAGAAGGAGAGGAAAGAAATTGAAAGGAGTTACAAGCACATGTGTGTTGTGTATTTTATATGATTTGCTATTTATTCCTGTGACGCATGTTTAGCTGGAAACTGCACAAAAGATACAACCAGCAGGACTTTTTTCAATGGATCACACCTCCAGCGCACTTAAAGCACATACAGGTCTATTCACTAGAGGGTGAAGGTTTTGGAGGAGGCAGGAGAAGTGAATAATCTAGGCAAAAATAGCTGATTTGGAAAAATTCTCCAATTTAGATCACTTTCCAGTTCAGGTACATTGTCCTAGATTGTTCACTTCTCCGGCCTTCTCCAAACTCTTCACCCTTTTGTGAATAACCCTGCTAGATGCAAATATAGAGTTATTCTCCAATAGATGTGAAGGTTCTCATTTATCCAGGTCTTTCAACTTGTTCTGTATTGTTGAAGACAATTTACCACTCATCGGAGTAGCTTCCTCAGCTCACATGAGTGTCAATAACATACACAGTTTTATAGCCGAGGGGTAACTTGGTCTCCATAATCCAAAGACCATGAGATGTGACAAGGCAGATATTGATTGTTCATGAACATGATGGGAGTTGGAAAAGTTTGTGAAGAACAGGGTTGTTTCATAAACCAGACCCCCCCATCATGTTCAGTTGAATGTGACTAACTACTAGCTTTATTCTTAGATCTGCCATCCCAAAGATGAGAGCTAAAATCTGGCTACAATGTCTCCATTATGGGCAGCAGAATCCCTTGATGAGCATCCAAACATTGTAACTGATTTATATAAAAAAAATGAAGGATACAAATCACTGTGTTATGCGCAGTAACCTGATTTCCATTCACCTTAAAGCTGACACTAGAATATCCCTCTAATTAGCAGCTATTGACATTGACAGCTTTTTTAAAATATCTTTCCACCATTCCTATAACTTTAATAACTGTATTGTATATACTAGAAATGGGCATTCGGCTTTGGATCAACCTGCAAATCAACAAAATTCAGTTGATTCGGCAGTTTATGTGAAATAACGGATAAGGACGCAGGAGGGAGTGACGAGGAAAGGGGAGCATGGCGGAGGAGAATGTCTTGCCCTGCTGTGTCTGTGTTTGTAAAGACACACAAAGCTTACTAGCACACACAAGGGTGGCTCCATAGGACCCCACAAGGGAAAGGAGCCACCTATCAGGTCCAGTGCTCAGGGGTTCAGCTGATTCTTCAGGAAGCTAAAACTTTTAAACATTGAGGAGCAGCATTTATTGCAAGTGATTTCAATAGCATTTAAAATATAAAGTCTTTTGTAAAGTCACTTTCAGTAAGCGTGTGAATAAATGGTTAGAGTGCGGAGATGAGAGATTTGTCTGTAAGTATAATTACCGTTGTAGATTGTGACTTATTTTATGCTTACTAACTTGTGGTTCAGCTCATAGGTGTCAGCAGCAGCTACAAAGAATTAGCAGCTGATTGTGACACGAGAATACGGTGCGAGCTGCTATGCTGCCTAGCAACCGGGCGTCAGTGGAACCTTTTAAAGTGCTTACAACACTTGCGCCTGTTTCTTGTGCGTGCCTCTCATTGCTGAATAAATATAGAAGCAACTTGTGAAGATAACTCTTGTGAGTAACTTCATTTTGACAACAGGAGAATGTCTGGATTCTGTGCAGGAACAGTCTATGTCTCATTTGTACCATCCAGTATCTCCGAAATGAACAGTGATGCATGCACAGTAACACCGCAATTCCCACCACTGTGTGTATGGCCTTTAGGTTTTTATGACTTATGTTTCAGGCAGCTGGTCACATGTTCAGGCTTCATCCCAAAAGAGCTGCAGTCTAAAATCCTGAAAGTTTTTGAGGTCACTTTCCTCGAGTTAACCCCTCTCAGCTCAAAGCAGCTGTGTCTTCAAATGATGCAATGGCTTTGTTGTGGGGTTTACAGCATTAATAATAAGTGTAAAAATAAAATTACCCCCTTTCCTAACCTTAATCTGAATTTAACACAACCCTTATATTACACAATCGAAAAAAATGTATCCCCTAAATTAGCCTTTAACATTCCCCCTCCCCCAAACACTTATCCTATCCTTGAGGGCCGGTTTACCCCACACACTTCGCGTTTCAGTGCGTTCGGCCTCTGGAGCGCACTGGAATGCAAGCCGGCCGGCTCCCTGCATTCAGGGGCAGGAGGCGGTACATTGAAGTTATTGGCACCGCAGCCACGCCCCCTGGCCGCAGTGTGATCGCCCGCACCCGGAACACAGGCACATTAGTGTCTGCGTTCTGGTCCAGTGCGTTCTGCAAAAATAGTGCCTGCATTTCGGGTGCGGGCGATTGCACTGCGTGCGGGGGTTGCGCAATGGACCAAGACGCGCATTTTCGCATGCACGCGCTCACATATAACAATGGTGCCATAAGGCCTATTAAAACTTGCATCCTGCATGCACCCAGTCCTGAGAGTTCTTCAGCTAGTGTCCAGCGTTGATGCCTGATTGCTCCTGTATCTGACACGGGTTGATCCTCTGACTCTGTTGCTCTCTGCCTGAGCTCGGCCTGTTCCACTACTCTGCCTCTTGTCTACTGATCTGGTACGGCTTCATCCTGCACGGCTTGACCTCGGCTTGTCCTGACCCAGCTTTTGCCTTCCGATTCTGCACTGCACCACTAGCCAGTTACTGACCTGGCTCGGGTCTGAGTCCGTTTACGTACTCAGTTGGTATCCTGCATACTTCAAGCTGGCTACCTGCCTGGTGTTCCGCTCCGGTGTCAACAGCATCTCTATCAAGCGCCGCCCTTGTCCCACTCTTAAGGGCGTACAGACCAGTGCTGCAAGGGAAGGTGCTTCTTGTCATCTCAGACTCACATCAGATACGCGACACGTCGTTGGAAGAATCGGTTATATTTTCTTTGTTCAGCCCCTAGGTTGAACAAAGAAAATATTACAGTGTATGTCCACCTTAAGATGGCCCCTTTCTCGGCTGTAAAGGATAGGAGGTTGTAATTCCACTTTAAGCACATTATGGCACCCTTACTGCTAACGCACCCCGTCCAGTGAGGACACGTCTGCAATCTACCTTATTGCTTTATCCCTTATAAAGCAGAAGATTTTATGACAGAAGACTATTTGTCCCTTCTGCCATAAAAGCCAGGTAGCTGCTTGCAGTTTAAAAAAAACCACACTTACAATGTATTAAATAAGGCCGTTATTGCAACTCTATCTGTTGCATAGTTGCAGAAATAGACTTTTTACTGTACACACTCCAGCACCTGAACACTGGAACACAGAAACATTATAAAGCATGCAAATACTGCCTTACTTAGCAAGTTGATCACTAAGTGGTAACAAACCACATGCAGTAGAAATATGCCAGTCCATATAAAAAAACAAAGCAAACACTCCCTCTACTGTGAGCTTATGGAAATGCCCCTTTGTCTGTCTGTTGTGGCTCATACTTTGGAACAGTTTGCCATATGTTGCTTGTGGTATAATATTTTATGCCATGGTAGTGTTCAGGTGTAACTGAAGCCAAAACTTTTTTTTAAATTTTGGATAGAGTAAGGGAGGTCTATAACTACTGTCGGTATTTTCTTTTTTTTTTTTGCCATCTGTGTCCCACTGCGGAGGTTTCTCTTTGAGTCTTGTCCTATAGTCACAACAGAAAGTGACATGAAATCCCTCCAATAACAGGAAAATCCCTGTTTTTTCCCGGAATCACAAAAACAGCAATAAAAACTTGACAGGTGTTCTAATCCCTCTCCACTCTATCCAAATCTAAAAATAAAAGTTTGGGCTTTAGTTCTACCTTAAAGAAGAACTTCGTGGAAAAAAAAGTTCTACTCACCTGATCATTCCAGCAGGCTTGTTCTTAGACCGGACCCTAGAGCCTCTCTACCCCTTCTCTACAGCAGTCTAAGAATCCATGCATCATCACGCTGTATACAAGAGTATCAATGTAAGGACGCTGAGGAACTTTCCATGTGTGCTGAAGACACGCTTCAGTGACCGGAGAAGCAGGGAGTCGGGCTGGGCAGTTAATCCTTGCAGTCCAGGGGGTAGCCCCACTGCAAGGGTTAATATAATATTCCCCTGGAGTACTTTAACTAAACCAGGGACTAGGATATTGCCAGAATTCCAATAATAAGTTGCACTTTGTTTTCAAACACTAACAATATGTCTGCACCTTGTTGGACTGAGAATAGAATCCTGGAAGGTCTCAAATGTTGGTGACGTTTCCATGTCACTTACTTAATAATGTAGTTTTAGCTGATACGTAAACATATTGCACTTAGTGTGTGTGAGAGATAAAACAGCCGAGGTAACCCTGTCATATGGTGCCCTCTAGTGGTTTATTTTGAGAATCATAAGTGTTCTAACCAATCATAAATCTACTCTTTGAAAGCTTATAGTGTTCAGATGGATATTTTTTTTACTACAAGTTACTGCAGATAACAAAAAGGTATGCACCCAAATAAGATGTGACTTACGTCTTTGCCTATTGCAGTCCTGTTTAATAATATTCAGAGTTAATTTGCGTAATTCTTTGTCATGATCTGTTACCTGCGAAGAATACAAAAGACAGTTAGGGCTCTGATACATGTGAAAAGCTAATTTCATTAAAGTGTATGCATCACCAATTTTTTCTTCTTCTTACTTTTACATAGAGGAAAGCTGGCCATACACCTATAGATTATCTGCAGATTTACTATGATCAGATGGAAAAAGTGCCACAGATTCCTCCATCTTTTAGATTGTAAGCCCTCAGGGACAGGGCCCTCCTTAACATCTTGTCTTGAATTGTATTGTGATTGTAATGTCTGCCCTATATTGTAAAGCGCTGCGCAAACTGTTGGCGCTATACAAATCCTGTATAATAATAATATAATAATAATCTACGCTAAACTGTGTGGATGGAGGAATCTCCCGCTTGGCCAAGTGTCAGTATCTTGCTAGTCGGCCCCGCTGGCTCTCAAAATACCTGAACAGTGCCTGCATCCAATCAGATTGCTCAGGTATTTTGAGAGCCAGCGGGGCCGACCAGCAAGATACTGAAGCTTGGCTCAGCGGTAGAATCCTCCATCCACACAGTTTAGCATAAATGGAGGAATCTGTTGCACTTTTTCCATCTGACCATAGAAAATCTGCAGAACATCTATAGGTGTCCCTGCTGGGTTGATTAACCTAACTTGATTAAATCTCTATTTGTCCTACTGACCATTGTCCCTGGAATAAAAAGTTTTAAAAAATCACAAATTGTACATTGTTACCAAAAACAAGAGGTGACGAAATATCTTTCAATGAGGACACTTGTTCCAGTGACAGCTGCCCCAGATGGGAATTTCCCCTTAGATGGTAGAGATTTCTTCTCACTTCCTGTTGGATATACAGGACAGGAAGCAAAGGGAAATCTCCCCAATAGGGAAGAGATGACAAAATATACACTGGCAGGAGTTGTACCCTGAAAAAAAAATGTTTTGGCTGTACATATACTTTAGGCATCATGTATGAAACTTCTGCCTGACATAAAGCCCGGAGGATGTCACTTGCAGGGCAGTAGTACACCTAGATGGTCTGCACCATCTAGGGGCATTACTGCTGTGCAAATGGCAGCTGGGCAGAAGTTTGATACACAAAGCCCTTTAAGTAATTAAAAATGTGACTTTTTAGTTCACAGTAGAACATATATCAGTACATTTGTAGAATAACAATATCACACAGACACACAACTAAACAGACATGTATGTGTGCATTTTATCAGACTGAACACATTTCGAAAACAACAAAGTAAAATACAGTAAATGAATGGATATACTGTAAAACAATCAACGTATTTAATAAATGCTGTCAGGAAGCCTACTCTTTAGAGAAAAAACAAACAAACAAGATGAAAGAAGTTTTGCAAAATAAGAGAAGTATTTGTTAAATAATCCAAACATCTACGAATACAAAATATTGCATTGTCTATGCTGTGCTCTGGGAAGAACATGAGCCTTCCTGTAACCAACATCCTACAAATCCTCCTATTTCCTCATTTGCAGAAGCTCGTATTTCTCTAATACTTTACATTCACAAGCGATTTAAAGATGGAATTTTGTGTGTAAATGAAAAAGAAATGATCATCTCTAGATATGGCTAAAAGAATGACAGGACATCACGATGCTTGTTTGATAGCAACAGCCGCATATTTGTGGTACTTCTGTTCCACGGAAGAGTGAAAGCTTGGTACTCACTTGCAGGGAGATTTTCCTTTGTTATATACAATAAAGTTATTGTGTATTTTTTACAAATCAACAGGTATTTTTTTATTTACTTGCAAGGGATAAAACAATGGGAATGTGCATGTATAGCAGGGATGTGCTGCATGTTTAGATTTTTCAAGAAGTTGCAAAATCTTCTTGTGGTGTAACAAATGTCTCAAGCTACCTGAGTTGTTTATTATCACCCTCTGTAGTGCAGCAATGTTCCAAAAATCACATGTGATTCCCTGAAATCTACATGCATGAAATCTTCACCTGCTGTTATCAAGCTGTCTATAGTCAAATGTACACATAACAGTAATTGCCATTGCTGAAGGCTTCCATGACTACCAGGAGATAGCTCCCTCAAACCTTCTGGTTCAAGAAGTGGAGAAATGTATATGCTTCGCTCCTCCACATCTCTTTGGTGTTTTAAAACATAAAAGGTACAATGGCATGTTTAAAGTTATTAAGTGTAAGAAAAATACTTCCTTATATTTACTGGTAACTGCAAACCAACTGGTGTACATGGTGAACATGCAATACTTTATATAAGCCTTTCTCTACCAGGGTGGTGTAGCATCTACTGGCCACCCAGGGGTGTCTACTGGCTGTCTTGAAATTGTTGCACAGTGTCATGCCTTTCTATGGTGCAGGCAAGCTTCTAATGTGAAGGGGGCTCCTAATGTGAAGGGGGAACTTTAATGTGAAAGGGGGCTCTGATGTAAAGTGAGGAGTTGATATGATAGGGGGGCTATGGTGTGAAGGGGGGAGGGGCTTCAATTGTGAGAGAGGGGACTCTGTCAAAGGAGAGGACTTCTTATATGAAGGGGGCTCCTAATGTAAATAGGGGCTCCTGATGCAAAGTGGCACTCTGATTTGAACGAGGAAGCCTTATATTTTTTGTGTTTTTGCATGGGGTCCTCCCTTAAAATTCATACCAGACCCCTATCTGGAATAATGGTCTGGTATGGATTTTGGAGGGACCACATGTTGTCTTTTACCTTTTTACACGTAAGTTTTTTACCTTTTAGACTGGGGTGCCTTGACATTTTGCATTCTTTTAAAAGGTGGCGTGACTGAACAAAGGTTGAGAAACGCTGCTATATAGAATATTGTAGAAAACCTTTTTGTATCATGAGCGCCTTGAAAACATCAGATGTTTATCATTTTGCATTGAATGCTCCTCAAACTTATACTTCTAGAATTTGAATGGTCATGTACTTGTGGAATATACGTACATAATAAACATCTTTGCTTTGGCCTTTTTGGTAAACAATGCCTCTTTCTAGAAGTATGTGTATGGCTTCTCTGAACACGCTGCAAATTTCTTTGGAACTGGAAGCAACGTTTGAGCCACTCTGTATAAAAAAACAAAAACATAACATAACATGCGTCACTCAAGTAAAGCAAAGAGCAGTGATAATGTGCTATGTGCAGTAACCCATGCGACCAATCACATTTCTATTGTGTACAGAAGTCAGAACATTGGAAGATGAGTGGCTGCTACAGATACTCTTCATTACACTCATCAAAAAGCAATCTGTACCCCTGACCTGCATGTTTGATGCAGATCAGTGACTAAGTCAAGAAGCAAGGATAGCATTAAAGCAAAAGTCTCATCTGATTATATTTTCCCTTCCCTAGTTCCTCCCTAACAAGGGAGCATGGAGCTGGCTTTCTGGCCAATCAGGAAGCCAGGGAGCGGGTAATGACTCACTGCCCAGCACCTGACTGGCCAGCTTCCCGGTCAATCAGGATGCCGGGCAGTAAGTCATGATATGCCGCCCGGCTTCCTGATTTGGGCTTTAGTTCTACCTTAAAGAAGAACTTTGTGGAAAAAAAGTTCTACTCACCTGATCATTCCAGCAGGCTTGTTCTTAGACCGGACCCTAGAGCCTCTCTACCCCTTCTCTGCAGCAGTCTAAGAATCCATGCGTCATCACGCTGTATACAAGGGTATCAATGTAAGGACGCTGAGGAACGTTCCATGTTCCTGGGAGGGGTCATTTGCTACCCCTCCAACTTCCTGATTGGCCGGGAAGCCAGCTTCATGCTCTCTGGTGACCAGGGAGCATGGAGCCAGCTTCCCAGCCAATCAGGAAGCCGAGCGGCGTGTAATGACTCGCCGCCCGGCTTCCTGATACCAAAGGTTCTGGTATCGGGAGCATTTGGGCGAGTATGAGTACTCGCCCAAATACTTGGTATCGGCACCAATACTAGTATCAATGTCAGTGCATCCCTACATGTGTTAATGGAGGTTATGTTAAAATGCATACATGGTCACTGCTATGCATGCCTCCACAGCTGTGGTGTGAACAAGACACATAGAAAAGCAATGAATTCTTTGTGGCCTTGCAGTGACCTACGTTGATCAGGGGTATTTCAAGTATACATGAAATGTACGTCTTTCGGGAGTCTTACAAAAGCAAAGAGAATGAATAAGAACCCGACAACAGAAATAAGTGAGACCCACAGACTCATATACACCTCTGTGCTGCAATGTGGATTTGTAGCCGCCATGACTAAGGAGGGCACACTTTCCAGTTCCGGCTGGTAGAAGTTGTAAATCTTGTTCTCTTTCACAAAAGCCAATAATTTTTCACTGAGCATAGCAATGAGCCTGGATCTCTGTAACTCTGCTTGATTCCTGTTGATAATAAATACAGTTAATTAATTGCAACTCTGTTTGTTCCTGTCCCTGTATGGGCCAAATCACCATTCACTTATCTCATGTATTAAGAACCAAAGTTCTGAATATGGGGTTTACATGTATATAAAAGTGTAAAACTCTTAAAGTTTAATGAAATGAATACTGTAAATGCAAATTGAAAGAATATCGGTTCTATTTTATCGGTGTTAAAATCCAAAGAGTTTTACACACGTTCTCTTTGTCACGTCATCGTTGTGGGGAGATACACAGTGTGACAAGAATCTTCATACCAGCAAACACAAACAAGCAAGCATGCAGATAAGGAAAAGGAAATTCACAAGGTTATTATGCACACTGCTTGTATGCCCAAAGATTCTTTAAACATGTTTCATGACTATTTTGTATTTCCGTTTATGTGCATATAATTGGTTTATTTTCTTGTAATGTTACTGTATCTGATCACTAAAGTTGTTTATTTGAAGTAGAACTGAATGCAAACTTTTTTTTTTCCAGTTTTGGATAGAGTAAGAGAGGGTTATAACAACTGTTAGTTTATTGTGTACCATTGGGGAGATTTCCCTTCACTTCCTGTTCGATAGCCACAACAGAAAGTTAGAGAAAACCTCTGGTGGTCATCGGTGTCCCCAGAACTAGTGTCTCCATTGGAAGATTTCCCATTTATTCCTGTTCTGATGACAACCCAAAGTTTGGGATTCTCATTCACTTTCAGGCACCAGGACAATTATTAGGTGAATCCCCCTAATGGGGACAGCAATAAAAACCTGACAGGTGTCCGAATCCCTCTCCACTCTCCAAAACTAAAAAAGGATGTTTTTGCTACAGTTGCACTTTTATTTCCTGGATCCTTATAGCATCAGTATATTTTGCAGTCCTTTCCATAGAACCATTTACATAAGTCGATGAAGAAAGTGTGACTTATATTCCAATATCCCCTGCCCAATGCACACTAGCACAGACGGTACACATAATACAGCCAATAAGGCAGCATTATGGTTCTGGATAGTTGGAAGGAATGCCGAGCACATGGAGGAAATCCATTCAAACATGAGGGGTACATATAAACTAAATACGGACAGTGAGAACGGAAGCCAGGAGCTCAGTGCAGCTGAGCTACAGAGCTAATCATGAGCCCACCACGCTTAAAAGTGCAAATATTTTGTGTTTCTATGTTATGTATATCAGTAATTGATTCTAATCAGAGTAACAAAAACAGGCTAAGATATGCTGGAAATGTGAATTCCTTCTATAACTAGTGTGTTGCATGCTAAGACAATAAAGACATAACTGATGTCAAGCTGAGTGTTAGAATAAAATGCATTAAAAGTGTCTTTACACAGAAAACTTTTTCTCTTTACCCTGACATAAAAAAAGGATTCACTATCTCTCTAAATACCTTTCCTGGTTCAGCTTCAGACCTAAATAGTGACAGTGAAATGTAACACCACCTAGTGGATGGTCAGACTAAAAGCAACATTTTAGAGAGCTGGATCGCTTCAATCCACTACAGATCTTCAAAAATCTCATTAACATTCACAGTAATTCTAATTTGGTTACTAGACAAATACCACCTCTTTAAAGGCAAAAAGGTGGATAAAGAAGTTATACTTCAACCAAGTGTATGTAATTATTAGCCAATTGGGTTGCTTTATTAAACACACAAGAAAATAATTAAATATGAAGAGAATATGAGCACAACACCAACAAACGAAAACCCCTTATAAAATTGGCAACGTTGTCAATCAAATCACACATTAAAAACATTGAAACAAAACCGTTTAGATGACCCCCTATCTTAATTTAAAACGCTGATGGTCAGCGCTGCTGATAATAACAAAGTCCACCTTGATAGGTTTCAATTCCAGTGTAAAGAATCACCTTCCTTTAGTAGTGTGACAGCAATTTGCTGAATGATTCAAAGCACTTTCTAGGAATTTGAACACATTGAATGCACTCGGATACATTCTCCTTATGTAGTGAGACTCTATGACTTAAAAAGCGTGGTAGGAGCAGTCATAGCTGAAATTTGTATTGATGAGCCACTACAAAGTTTCTTGTCGGAGGAATATCAATATCCGATGAAGCAAACATGTGGCTAAATAGCAGATCAAAGCAGATCAAAACATCAGTGTAACTGAATCCTCTATTTATTATGAAGTGCACATTGCAAAAGGCAGAGAGCAGAGGAGAAAGTATAATCTTACTGTTTCCCTCGTAATGATGAACACAATGCTTCAGGTTCGCCAGATGAAACCCAACATTGATCCACTGCCAATGTGTAAATATTCCTCCCCGTTACATACCGCAACAATGTCCAAATAGGCTCAGTGGTGGTTTCCTGTCTCAATCAGTATCTCTCTCTGTGCATAGGAAGACTCACACACATGATCTCTAAGACAGAAAGTCCTCTTTTCTCTTTTCTACTGAGGCATCAAATAGTCAGCAAATCATCGGCAATCCGTGGTGGATTTTTCAGCGCTTTGTTCAGCTTAAGCAATCTATTTTCATTAGGCACTATCTGATGTTGACATTAATTTGCAGACAGTAAATCAATGGTTTTATCAGTGATTCTGCCATTGATTCCTATGCTGCATCCCACAGGCCACAGCATACATTTATTGTGGATTTGACAGCCAGCCATGCACATTTGAAACCTAGTATGTAACTAGCCATAGGCAGAGCTGGACAGTGACTATTTCTGTGGCATTGATAAAAGTAAGACCTTACCTCTGTAGGTTACACTGTGGAAGGATGTCCCAATTTGAATTCTCTCACAAATGCCCAGTTTTGAGACTCAACAGGCCCTGCTGGGTCTGTTGAGTCCTCAAAACAGGGCATTTGTGGGAGAATTAACATTTTGTAGTAAACCGGGGAACCCTTCTTTCTATGGGGAGTTGTGGTGTTCATTGGTTGGATAGTGGATTCTCCCCCTCTACCTGTTACTGGGAAAGTTAATCTGACCTTTTTTTCTGAAATGCTAGTTCCATGCCGGTTCACGCTGTTCCACTATCTTCTGAAGCTCTGACCTGGAACAGGTATACAGATAAGATACTCTAAAACAGGGCTCAAAATTTCACGTCCTGAGCTACTAGCCAGCCCTTAAGAGCTACACGCCACCAGTTGCCCCACCTAATCCCTACCCTTCCCTAGCCCTTACTCCGCCCCTAAACCCACCAGCGCTGTAATGCACGTTACAGAGGTCAGTGCTGTAATGAACATCACAAAGCTCAGTACTGTAAGTAACGCACATTACAGAGGTCAGTAGTGCACATTGCAGAGGTCAGCGATGTAACGCCCATTGCAGAGGTCAGCGCTGTAACGCACGTTGGAGAGGTCAGCGCTGCAATGCACGTTACAGAGGTCAGCGCTGTAACGCATGTTACAGAGGTCAGCGCTGTAACGCACGTTACATAGGTCAGCGCTGCAACGCACGTTACATAGGTCAGCGCTGCAACGCACGTTACATAGGTCAGCGATGTAGCGCACGTTACAGAGGTCAGTAGTGCACATTACAGAGGTCAGTGGTGCCCATTACAGAAGTCAGCACTGTAACACACGTTGCAGAGATCAGCGCTGATCCGGGGCATGCCCCCTTCATCAGAACGGGTACATTCTGATGAACGTTCTGATGAAGGGGGCGTGCCCCGGAAATGCGTCGACATCCTACTGATCTGCACACAGGACTCATTATACGGATCCCTCCAGTGCTCCGTTTTATATTGCTTCACAAACTTGTTGTCAATCTACCATTGTGAATACCTGCTAGCTTGTTTTCTGTTATGATCGTTGAATAAACTAATCTTCACTAGGAAAGATAAGATACTCTGACTTACTAAGCATGCTTGTTACAAGTCATTGACTCAAAGTACTAAGGCCATATACAACCAGGAAATTAATATTCTTAGATGAGATCAGTAATGGCAGCCTTCATATTTCTTTCAGCATTGACTGCTCTAAATGATTGGTAATGTGTATTGCAACAATCAGGAGCACCATTGGCATGTCCTGCAGCTGAGCTAAATAGACATTGCTCTTCATCCTCGTCTACAGTCAACTCCTACACCAGTGGTAGTGAAATTTTGGCCCTCTATCTCTTGTGGAACTACAATTCCTACAGTGCACTGCAAGACTTTGGCAGTCACAGGCATGACTTCCCGAGGCAGATACATGATGGATGTTGTAGTTTGGGATTTATCCTCTCTTATTATACTTTATAGGTCCGCACATAAAGAAGACAAGGAAAATATTATGTTTGTTCTTTCTATCTTATCTAGTCCCTTCCTCATACCTAGTTAGCAAAATGTTTGAATTTAAGGTTTAAATTTCAAGATAAAGTTGACTACAAAAAGGAAAAATCCATATTTGGAAAAGAGAGAAAGAGAGTTGAAGCATGAAAGTATCCAAGCCCTTAAAGTGGACCCATCAATAAATATCACACATGAATCAATATATGGACTGCAAGCAGTCTATTGTTTTCACTCAGAAACGCCTTATTAAGAGGATCAGCAGGAAGCTATTTATGAAATAGGCTAATATGGCATCCCCCGTGTACATACTGTGTATAATTACAAATGATTTTAAGACATTTAGGGCCTGTTCGCGCCAAAATGCAATGCTGTGCTGGCCGTTTTTTCAGCGTAGTCACAACGCAAGACAAGGCAATTTGCTTTGTTTCAGATGGGCTCAAGTACACACTACCACACTGCAGTTGTGTGCGCTGAAAAAAAGTATGGGATGCAGTCAGTGGCGGAACTAGCGCCATAGCGACCCAGGCAGCCGCTATGGGGCCCGGGGCACAGGGAAGCTCGGCCAGGACGAGGAACAAAGGGGTCCCCCTAATGCCGTGCGGGCCGCTGTGGAATCGCAAGCTGCTGGCTGTCACTGGCGGCTGTGAGGAGGAACGCGCCGCTGTTCAGATCACTGAAAACCTGTCAGTGATCTGTGCAGTGGCGCGTTCCTCCTCAAAGCCGCTGCGGAGTCAGTGACAGCCAGCACCTGTGGAGAAGGATTGCCAGCACCTGTGGAGGAGGACCGCATTGCACCGCGCTGTAGCCATAAAACTTACTCACTTGTGACATTTCAATAAAGTTCTAACAACATTTTTTAAAAAGGAAACAGTGCATTGCATCGCAAACAATGCATCAGCTCTATGTTGGGTACACACACATAAGTAGCCATGCAGTGTAGCACAGCTGCTGGTGTGAATGGGCCCTAACACACTTTAATAAATCTAATGATACCTTGCTGATCTTTTTCTTAAATAAGAACTATGGGGTCAGTGCTTTTCCCCATAGTTCTCCTAAGGTTAACGTGAGGACACAAACTAGCGTCCTCCAGTCACCCAAAGCTCAGTATACCGCGAGCCACAGCTTGCGGTATACTGAGAAGCCGCAGCTGGAACGGATCCCGACAATGCTGTCTGGATCCACCCAGCTGCGGGATTGACAGCTGGCTCTGCCTATCCAGAGGCAGAGCCAGCTGTACCCGCCCCCTCCCCGTCCGTTCCGCCAGTCAGCGCTGGAGGATCGGAACGGGGAGGGAGGATCCCTGCAGGGAGCCGTGAGTGACTGTTACGGCTCTCTGCACGGATAGATCGAGAAGTGAGCGAGCGACGGTATGTGTTCGCTCACTTCCCGATCTACTGAGCCGACCTGTGACAGTTTCATTGTCACAGGTCAGCTCAGATTATGAGTCTGAGTGAAAATCACTCGCCTTATAATTCTCCTTTAAGTGTATCAAAGACAATAAATGGCTACAGAGGGTACATACTGCCACCAAGTGGCCTTGATAGTCCTCAAAGCTAAATTATAACAGCTGCTGGTATCTTTGTCTTTTAAATGTCCCTGAATCTAAGCTTGGAACAAAGAAGGATAAAATGTCTTTGCTTTCAAGCATTGTTCTCTTTAGTACCTCTCAGAAATAATTACCTTCTCCTTGGCAATAAAAACACATGAACATGTGAGAGTGAAAGTATCAAATTGAACTGTTATCAACTGAGTAACAAAAAATACAGGGATAAACATGACTTACTTATGACCGTGACAAAAAAGTGTGTGTGTGTGTGTGTTATATATAGATATTATATACACTGTATACACATATACACATACACACACATACACACACACAGTGTATATATATCTATATATATCTATATATATGTATATATAGATATATATATATATATATATACAGTATATATATATATATATTTATATAGATATATATATATATAGATATATATATATACACACATACATAAATACACACACATATACACACATACATACATATACACTCACACACAGCTCCAGCATTCCAAACAGAGCATCCGAGAGCAATAGTTTCACTTTCACAGCTAAGCAGCTCTCATTTGGAACAAACTAATCTGATGGGAAATTCTTTATCCGGTGTGCTATAAAATCCAGTAACTGACTGTTCTGCAAATAAATACTGGACACTTGTGGCCGCTGTGCTCCTGCTTTCTTAAAAAAAGCACAAATTCCATTTCCTTATAATATACAAAATATATGACTTACGAGTGCTCATGGGATTGATCTTTCATGTGACCAGGGAGAATAAAAGGTTTGTCATAGACATGTTTGTAGAGGTAAGGCAGTTCAAGCATCCTCGTAATCTGCATGTCAAGTGTGGGATCATCCACTTTATCTAAGACAATAAAATGTATTCATCAGACAAAAGTTACAATAGTAAGTAGGCAAAGCTGAAATATTCTTGAGTAAATCGTACTGCTGGTATCACCCTTAGGCTCTTGTGGATATTGAACCTAAATTAAACAAGGCTCAGTGGTTAGAAGCTGTACCATGCAGCACTGAGGCCCCTAGTTGAAATCAAGGTTCAACCAGGACACGGTCCTGAAGTGTCTGCTAGGGCTGCAACAACTAATCGACATAATCGATTATAATTTGTCTGCAAGGAATTTGTACGTTCTCCCTGTGTTTGTGTGGGTTTCCTCAGGGTACTTTGGTATTCTCCCACACTCCAAAGACATGCTGGTAAGATTGATTGGCTCCTGTGTAAATTGGCTCTGGTAGGTGTGTGCATGCATGTGAGATAGGAACCTTAGAGAGAGTGACTGATGTGAATAAATAGTGTGTAAATAACAAAATTGGCTGCACAGAATTACAAATCCTTAGGAAGGATAAGCAGTACACATTTTATGTAAGTGAACCCTGTGTTTAGCAGTTTGCCTAAGACTTCTGCTCACAAGACACATGTATAGCAAAACCCAGCTAACAAGGCAATGAAATGCATGTGCTTGGGCAGACAAATGCCAAACGTGTGCCAGAACTGCCAGCTGATATCTAACACAAACCTTACATGTATAAACAAACAACTCATTTGTAAAATGAAATTCTTACAGAAAATAGAAGCCACCACCTCTCTCTGCATTCTGAAAACTTTGATGTAGCCTCGGACTCTGATAACTTCGCCAATTTCCATCTTGGCCTTGCTGCTTTCCTGTCTGAGTAGCTCTTGCACTGGTCCATCTAGGTCATTAGTTCCTGGTGTACATCTGTGGAAGTCTGCAAATGCACAAGATCAAAGATTAGGTGCTTTGCTGGAAGACGTTTAATATTATAAAACCGATATGTGACCTGATTTCACTCTGGAACTGAACTGACACAAGAGGGGAGATTGCTAAGAATGTAGAAAAGAAAATACGCATGCAAGGGAGCAGCCAATCATGCTTCACCTTTTGTTCTATGGGAAACTTAAAGCACTCAGGAGGCAATACTTCTGAATGCCTGTTTTTTTCCTGATCCCAAGGGGGATTGCAATACCATGCAGTAACTGCATTTCAAAAGGTTGGCACATGGTCATAGTGTGGTTCCAGCGACATCAATGGTGTGTTTTCCAAGCGGCACCACCTTTCAAACATGACATGCCAAGTTAAATGTGGCACGCAGCGAAGTGAAGCAAGTGAAGATGCTCAGTGATGAGTTCATGTCTCACTACTACTGCTTTCTCCTCCTATCAACATGTTCCTTGTAAGCACATAGTAACTAGCTTCTTCTGCTGCTGCTTCTTCCTCTCACTCTGAGTTGTGGTATACAGGACAGCAAAAGGCTGAAACAAAGTCACGTTCGGGTACTTACACTAGTTGTATTTAAAAAATAAATTTAACAATATATTAATGATTATTGAGCAGCATTAAAGACTTTTACCCAGATCTTTAAAATAACAACAAACACACCTTTAGAAATGTTTAGTAATGACAATCTACAAACAGATACTTATATATAATTGTCAGCTTTGTAATCTTTGCATATCTTATTTCTCTTTTCCTCTCCATTCTTCTCACAGTGGCCATGTTAACTAAGGACAGGTTACTAGATCTCCCTTTACTTCCTGGAACTCTGGCACATGCAACTAGAATAAGTGACCATGCACATCATCTCAGGGGAGGAAAGTGCCTTCCTCTGAGATCTCATGATACAGATGAGATTTCCCAGCAATGCTCTGCTGATGTAACCTCCCCAGCATGCAACGCTTTGGCACATTACATCCTCGTCCAGTTTTGGCACAAATGAAGTAGATGAACTCTATTTGTAAGTAAATGAAAAACATGTTTGTTTAACTAATAAATGTCATCTTTGTGACAGTCACCCGGCGGGATAAGGTATGCCGCCGGGTCCCCTCCTCTCTCCTGATACTGTCGGGCGTTCGGTCCATGACCGCGCGCCCGACTTTTCAGAGGGGGGGGACACCACAATGACTGTGAGTCATTTTGATGTCACCCCTCCAATGGTGTCTCCCGGGTGCGGGCCGCACCCCCCGAACCCTCCTTGTGACACCACTGAAGATGATTATAAACTAACATGCAGAGCGAAAGGGGGTAAAAGTCCACTTTAATCTGTGTCCTTTATGTCTACCTAGAGGCTGAACTCCAGGCAGATACAAAAGATACCAATGAATGTAGCTCTGTATGTCAGCGCACCATCCACAAGTCTGCCTGGATTGGAAAACAGAATTATCAGCAAAAAGCTCAGCATTTTGCTTCTTTCTCACCTTAAATTGTTTCCAAATTGATTCAGACCGAGTAGAGACAGCAGATAAAAGTGTGTTGTTTAATAGGACTCTAAAGACCAGTTTGGTATTGATTTTAGAACGTCATATCCTTCATAGAAGTGTGTCAATTAAGTATAATTTCTCACAATATGATGAGTCCATATAATTATTCTGAGATCCTATTAAAGGGGACCAACTTACAGGCTGTGCTCCAGCAGTTGAAGCTCTAGAATCCTACATGCTTTGATGGAAAAATGAACTGTTCTTTGCAGAGCGCAATAGTTGAAGCTCAGATTGCACACAGCTGAAAAAAGTTGGCCATACAATGTTATAGTTTTCTTTGAATGTTCCTTCAAAATAATTTGTCAGAGCATTTGATCTTGCACTCACTCAATAAGTCAACTCATTTAATTCAAAAGCCCAAGAACAAAAATGTATCCAGACCTGCTATTTGAAAGGAATCTCAGATTTCTTAATCAGGTTTGTTTTGTGTCTAGCATTTCTGCATTACAATATGTACATTTAAAAAAAAATGAAAAATCACATTCGTGGTTAGAATTTTGTTGGTTCAGATAAGGAACAAGATCCTTCAATTTTCCTTGTCACTACAGACGAAAATGAACCTCCATTAGAACCCACTAACCATTATTAAATCAAACAAATGTTCAGAAAATGATAATTGTCAAATAGAATTTCATTGGTGTATGGCCAGCTTGGGTCGGAGAAGTGACCCAATGCCCTTCTCTCCCTCTCTGTGCAGCACCAGGCAGTTTGGGTTAGGCAGAGATTCTGAAGGTAAAAAGCTTCTGCTATGCTCTGTAACCCATTTAGTGACACCAGTTTCATGGGTGTTCCCTGTATTCAATGTTTATCTGTAAATAAACAATTTAATATCAAATTGAAAATAACATCAACACATCAGCTTGAAGATCTTAACCATAACCAAATGTTATTTAATTTGAAAAATCATAAACAATGGTCATTCATTTTTTGTGTGTAAAATCCTGTTTTCACCTTTTGTATCCTTCGTTACATATCAGTGCTGCTAATCTCCTGCAGCCGCTTCTTGTTTATATGTACACATTTCAGTGATGGCTGCATACTATTTTCCAGGGCAGGTTTACTGATAGTGACAACAGTGGACGATGCCTGCGTATCGTGTGGAAACGGCCACTTGTCTCAAACAGAAGCCCATGTGGAAGGGTGACAATGCACAATTGGGAGACTAAAGCTGTCCATACATCTATAGATTATCTGCAGATTTTCTATGGTCAGATGGAAAAAGTAGATTCCTCCATCTACGCTAAACTATGTGGATGGAGGAATCTCCCACTGGGTCAAGTTTCAGTATCTTGCTAGTCCTCCCCGCTGGCTGTCAAAACACCTGAACAATCTGATTGGATGCAGGCATTGTTCAGGTGTTTTGAGAGCCAGCGGGGCTGACTAGCAAGATACTGAAGCTTGGCCCAGCGGGAGATTCCTCCATCCACGGAGTTTAGCGTAGATGGAGAAATCTGTTGCGATTTTTGCATCTGAACATAGAAAATCTGAGGAAAATCTTGAGGTGTATGGCCAGCTTTAGAATGGAACACAGTCAGTTTATAGTGAAGTGCCTGAACACAAAATGTCATGGCAGGATTAGCAGTGAATTGAAAGTGAAATGAAAGCTGTAGATTACAAAAAAGATAATAAAATTACTTTTGAAGTGCCATCAACATGTTAAAACTTATACAAGATCTGGTTTAACTTTAAGAACCTTTGCTTTCTGGAAGAGAGCAATGCATACATGATAGATTGCTTACATGAAAGCACGCATAAAGTTTATTAAGTGCTTGTTTTGCATAAGTCAATAAAGTTTATACAAACATCCAATTCATTTGCTTAGACGGATGAGCATGGAAACTAGTTTTTATTTGAAAGATGAATCATGAAGGCAAACTACATGTAGTATAAACTATATATATCTTATAGCCCGTATTGGAATAGTTGTTGTGTTTCACTGCTCACCTTTTCCAGATATTAAATTGCCAGCTGAGCTTACTGACTGGCCTAAATGTAACTTTACATGGTTTTATTTGGGTGTATTGCCCACTAGATTTTTATACCCTTTTTAAAGACTCAAAGGGCAAGATACGTCAAACTCTGCCACCCATAAAAGCTTTTACACACTACATCAACCCAAAGCTTATATTTCACTGTTGGTATGACCAGGTGCAATATGTTTACACTTGTTTATACCCATAGCAGGGTTGCCAGGTGTCTAGTCATTACTGATCAGTACTAGTCGGGGGCAGGAAAAAAGTATCTATGATGAACCAAAGCTTTTCCAGGTGTGCTCACCTGAGTATCATGTGGTAGTGAAGGAGGTGGATGGAAAATCTGATTGGAGGACTGGACTAATGTGGGTCAAACATGGGTCGAATTTAATCTGTTTCCTGCTAATTCGGGCAAAGTTTGATCTGTGGGTGGCCATGTTGGAACTACCAAGCTTAACAAAAGTCACTTGTGCAGGGTGGAAAATTGTCATCCAAACAGTGATTGCAGCCAATCAGCTGCAGTCACTGTTTGGGTATTCTGACAGCTGTGGATTCCCAGCTGTCAGAATACAATAGCTGGTAGGGGTGGATGGGAGAATTTCTTGGGCCCCCCAGCCTCTACCCGCCAGACCCTGTCCCCTACCTGCCTCTACCCACCATGCAACTTTCCTCTCAACCCCAACATCCCCTAAGAAAAAGACGTGAGACATGGCGCGGTCACGCTGCACAGCGTACTGTAGGGGCAGAGCAACACTATGCAATGCCGATCGCTTGGTAAACAGAGTAGTGCCATATGTGTATCTTTTGCGGGCTCAAAAGGACGCTGCTTTGGGCCACACAACAATGACTGAGCCCAGGGCAACTGCCCCTTTTGCCCCACATTAAAGATGGCCCTGGGCGTGTCAACCTGTGATGGCATAGGCCGACTAGGGAACTGCATGCTCACCATGCATATGCACTTGCACATGCCTGCCAATACAGCGACAGATCTAAGCCAGTGGATGATGTTAACAAAATGCAACAGGGAGCAGGGGTAGAAGTAGATAGAATAACAGGATCGCCGGGTATTTGTGCAACTTCTGCTGTAGCAGTAAGGTTCAAAAAACATTTTTTAAATAAATAAAGGAATTAGATATTTTTTTTCATTTGCATACAATTGAATTGGTCTTACAAAGTTGCTTTATTGCAGGTTGCAATAAATAAAATGAGTATCAAAGCGCTAAAGGTGTAACAAATAAGAAACTTAGTATAACCAAGTGATATAATCAAATTTTAGGTTTAGGGGGTCTTGGGTCTATAAGGGTCTATAAGTATTCTATTTATTAATTTTAAATACTTTG